TTATTGTATTGTATTATTGTATTGTATTATTGTCCGCAAAGCCCTTAAAACCTGGCTGTTCCGACAGGCCTGGGGCTAAAGAACTGTCCCCCCCGTCTCGAATTGGTATGACTGTTGTGTTTTAATCATGCATTGTTTTTTTATGTCGTTTTAAATTCTTGTTTGTATCCCCCTTCCCTGGTTGAGTTGTGAGCCGCCCTGAGTCCCCTTCGGGGGAAAAGGGCGGCATATAAATAAAATCAACATAACAACATAACATAACACAACATTACAGGGGTGTCAAACTTGTGGCTCGCATGCGTCATGTGCTGCCCCCCCCCCAGTTTAGCAAAGGAGAAAAAAAAGTTGCGATAAGTCACTTGATGACAATGTGACGATGTGAGTTTGACACCCCTACTGTATTACATTACATCAACAAAATTGATAGTTATCCCTGTGTGCATGCAATTTTATTATTTAAGTATATTGAAATCCAATACTTCTAGTGTTTCTTAAACATGGGGATGAGGATTATTTGCATTAGAAAAGCATACTAAAAATTAAAGACATCTTTTGGTCATAAAATATTTTTGAAAATAAATAGATAAATAGCAACCATGGTTTCCATTTGCCCATGCAGGCTGATATCAAGCCAACTTGTAATTGTCCTCAACTTTTCTCATTTAGAGCATCCCTGGATCTATAGATTTGGGCTCCAAGATCTTGACTTAGGTGCTCTCTAGGGGCGTAATTATAACTGGTCAATTGCTAATGTGCTTTCTTGTGATATCTCACCCATACTCTGGTGTAATTTGGCCTGTTGGTACTGAGCACAAAAAATGATCTCAAATAAGCAGCAGGGAAGATATCTCACCAGTGAGATGCTACCTCGGCAAAGAAACCCATCTCCAATGAAATTGGGTTTACAGCTGCAAATCCTTTCTGACGGTAACGTATCATTGCAAATGGCATTTTCTCCACATCCACCATTATTCTGATAAAAAGATAAGCAAGGAACATTAGCTAAAATATACTTCGTCTCAATAAATTTCAGTACAAAGTTCACTGAATAAACTAAGAAATGAAGGATGCAAAGGAGAGAATCGTAGAAAAAGCAAGGGCTGGATCCTTCCTTCAAACCCTTTAGGGATCCCTTCATCATCAAGCAAACAGGGAGGCAACAGGAAAACAAATTTGAAATAAGGGCTGGGGGAAAGCAGAACAAAGCACAGAGCAGCTTACAGGAGGAATGTTTAGAGGAGAACATTTCAGCTGGAAGTTTCTCCAGTGTATAGTGTGCCCCCCTGTGGAATTGTTTTGATTAAGAAAAGCATGATGGGGGAAAAATTAAAATGAAGTTGTAGCACTCTAAAAAGTAAAAAAAAAGTCAGTAAGACAATTCATTTCAGTTGCATTAGCATCAGAATCAAATTCCTGACCTTATCTTAGTGAATCTTAACTGGAGCTCGAGTAAATTCAGCAGGATTTCTCACTTCTCCTTACAGTTTGTATAAGGAGAAGTTTAGGAGCTAAAAAAAGCTGTCAGTTCTTGATTTGTAATAGAGATTGTTGCTTGAACTGTGAAGGACGGGTATGAAGGACAGGGGTCGCCAAAGTCTAGACTCACCAGTGTACAGGGACTGATGTAAGTGCATGTTTTCCCATCTCCAGAATATCCAGTGAAACAGTTACATGTTGCCTGTCAGAATAAGGAAATAATCCAGGTTAAAATATGGAGAAGGATAGCATTTTATTTCCTGATCTTTGGAAGTCCTTTGACAACTTTCTCCTGTTTGGTTTCTCTTGGGCGTTAAGACTCTGTGATTTGTTTTCAGTTTTTTTCCTTACTCATGCAATCATTCAGAGCTCCAAATGATTAAATTATATCTGACTCAATGGTGGGTTCTTACCAGTTCGGCCCTGTTTGGCCGAACTGGTAGTGGTTTGGTGGTCTGGGTCATTGGAACCAGCGACCCAGGCCTGCCACACCCTAAACCGGTTCTTCGGGTGGTGCCGTAGGGTCCGCCATCTTGTTTTTGCTTCTGCACATTCACATGTTCTGCATGTGCAGAACAATTTGTATTTTTGCACAGTGCACCTACAAGTGAACCAGCAGTAGTGGTTCCACTGATCTGGCCTACTAGTTATGTATTTGTGTAGTCCACCTAAAGGTAAAGGTTGCCCTCACACATATGTGCTAGTTATTCCCAACTCTAGGAGGCAGTGCTTATCTCAGTTTCAAAACCAAAGAGCCAGCGCTGTCCGAAGACATCTCCGTGGTCATGTGGCCAGTAGGACTAAATGTCGAAGGGACACAGAACACTGTTCCCTTCCCACCAAAGGTGGTTCCTATTTTTCTACTTGCATTTTTACATGCTTTTGAACTGCTTGGTAGGCAGAAGCTGGGACAAGTAACAGGGAGCTCACTCCATTACGCGTTGCTAGGGATTTGAACTGCCGAACTGCTGACCTTTCTGATCAACAAGCTCAGCATCTTAGCCACTGAGCCACCACATCCCTTGTAGTCCACCTGGTTCAGCACAAATCATATATTTTGGTATCACATTTCTTTATTCATCATTTCTTATATGATCCTAGACATAGTTTTTGACATTTCCAGTTAGATCTGGAAGCAAACAAGCTGTCAGCATGAAAAAATACGGAAGCTCTGTCAATCATGAGCAAGAACACCAGGCGAAATGAATAAGTGCCCTACCTCAGTTGAGTTGCATTGAATTATATTGTAGCCTGTGATTTGCCACTCTTTTATATTTTATTTATTTGTACATCAAATCTGAAGACTGTCCATCTCACTCACAGAGTGACACTTATTAGTACATGGATTATAATGCACAATTAATATAAAATGGAAATACTGTTTTACCTTGTTGGGTCCAGTGTGAATGCACTCTGCATTTTTAGCACATCCTCCATTCTTCTCAAGGCAGGGGTTAATTTCTTTATGGAAAAAATAAAAAGGAGAAAACCCCATTTAACTTTTATGAAATTTAGATTAAGAGCCAAGGTGGCGCAGTGATTAGAGTGCAGTACTGCAGGCTACTTCAGCTGACTGCTAGCTGTTGTTTGGCAGTTCAAATCTCACTGGCTCAAGGTTGACTCAGCCTTCCATTCTTCTGAGGCGAGTAAAACGGGGACCCAGTTTTTTGGGGGCAATAGGCTGACTGTAAACTGCTTAGATAAGGCTGTAAAAGCACTATGAATCACTTAGATTTAGACATAAATCTAAGTGCTATTGCTATTAAATGAGAGATAATTTATTGTAATTATTTTTGCTTTTTACTTGTCATAGCTCCTTTTACTTATCACAGCCCTCTTAGTGAATGAGTGCGGTATTTGTAATACAGATGTTATATACTTTCCTGAGGTTTATTCCAGGCAGTTGCCAAGAGTCAATGGTGAATTAAAGGCATAACATCCCCACAACCCAGGGATGGGTTCCTGTACCGGTTAGTACTGATTTGCTACGTGCATGCTTTGCAGACTTTTTCTGGTTTAATCGCAATAATACGTGCATGAACAACCGCTTTAAACTTAGTGTAAATCATTCTAAACTTGACTGTACTAAAATATGATTTCTGTAATAGAGTTGTCAAAGTCTGGAATGCCCTAGCTCAGGGGTCAGCAATCTTAAATACTCAAAAAGCCACAAAGGTCCTAACCAGAAGCCCCCTATTCAATTCTGGAGCCGACTAGAAGTCTGGTTTCCCCACCATAGAGTCTCCTCCTAGCGTGTTGTCCTTTTTCCTCTACCTGTCCTAACGGAAAGCCCTATCAATTGTGGAGCTGACCAGAAAACCCGCCCCTTGCCATAGAGTCTCCTTTTGGTGTGCCCTGCTTCCCCCTCCCCCAAACCGGAAGCTCCTTTCAAAATTGTGGTGCCGACTGGCAACAGGGAGCCCCAGCAGAGGGATGAAAGAGCCACATGCGGCTCCAGAGCCGCAGTTTGCTGACCCCTGCCCTAGCTGATTCAGTTTTCTCAGCTACACATTTTCACAGTTTCAGTCACAAATTGACTTCCATGGATCTTACTTCATACTTAAATAATCAGTAGAGGGGGCGTGCAAAAGTGCGCTAACCTGCATATTGTCTCTGTCGCTGTATTTTTATTCTCTTATTCTTGTTCTGGTTTTTGTTTGAAAAATTCCAATATATAAATAAATAAAGCTACCATTTTAATATCTCTAAGGCAGGGTGTTTAGATCTGGGCCACAAGGCTGCCCTGGAAACAGCAAATAACTGGCCCTCAGTGCTTCTGCCAATGAAAATGGAGCTCGGGAACTCATTATCGTTGGCAGAGCTCCCAGGCCATCACAAGTGCCTTCGACACAAGTGACATTGAGCTGCCCACAACCACCTTGGCCAGCCCCCCAGCCCCCCCTAGGTCAAACACAACCCTGATGTGGCCCTCAATGAAATCAAGTTTGATACCCCTGCTCTAAGGGATATGAAGTTGAGAAAAGATGCTCCCATATATTGTCAGCTTGTCAGCTGTCTGTATATGCATGTGTATATATCTCTCTATAAGTAAATATGTGCAATAAAGAGATTGCATAGCACATAGCATATTTACTGATAAAAAGTGATTTTGTCAATTTATATGACTCCAGCTGATCAACATAAATATGTGTACTGTCACTTTAACTTATAAGTTTCAGTTTCAGTTAACAAAAACTAAAACGAGATATTTGCAGAGGAGTTGCTAATTGTAAAAAGATGGGGAGGGCGGGAGGGAGGGAGGGAGGGGCAGACATTGTCATGTTAATCAGATGGAGTAAATTCAGGTCTTGGAAAAGTGCAAAACAGAACAAGTACTTACCAAAGCAGGCAATTCCATCTCCAGAGTAACCTGTCTTGCAAGCACATACTCGTTTTCCTGGAGTGGTACGTCTACATTCTGCTTTGGTAGAGCAACCCCCATTGTTGTTCTCACATGCATTAATAGCTGAAAGACCATGCAGAATTGAAGTTATGTTTCAATGCTTACACCACTTAAATTCCTTTATTTCAAAGCAAATTTAAATAGGTCAAATTTAAATTTAATTTTACCAAAAAATGTCTGCATAGGAAGTATAAGGTGCCTCTGTTATATAAATGTGGACATGGGCTTGTTTGATTCCTTATGTATATACCTAAAATAAATGTTGCTGTAGACTGCCTGGCCATTTCTTAACCAATCAGGATATCCCAGAAATTGTGGAATGTTATCTATATAGGAAAGCTAATTGACAGGAGACCCCAAAGGGCAAGTTTATTGAGAGGTGTTAGATGGGATCCCTCTAGGTGGGCAAAGAATTCTTTATAAGCTGTGTAGATTTAAAAATAATACACGTTTAAGAGACAAATGAATTAGCTACAGCAGGAATCCCTCTCTCAGGAAATAAGATGTGGGATTGGTTGTCTGTAAGGATGCCTATTGTTTCCTCTATTGGTTCCTCTACTTGCATAATTGCAAAAACACAGACATTACAGAAAGAATGCAACCCTTCAATTTATATCTACCGTATTTCCCTAAAAATAAGACCAGGTCTTATATTAATTTTTGCTCCAAAAGATGTATTAGGGATTATTTCTGGGTGATGTCTTATTTTTTGTTGCAATGGACATACTAAATATGTCCGTCTGGCTGACAATCTTAACTAGGGCTTATTTTTGGGGTAGGGCTTATATTACGAGCATTCTGAAAAATCATGCTAGGTCTTATTTTCTGGTTAGGTCTTATTTTAGGGGAATTATGGTAGCAAGATACAACATACTTAGGCTTCATATGACATTACTAGACTTTATAATAAATCCCATTATGACTCTGCACTCTTCAACTTTTTGGCATATGGATATGACTAGCTAGTCTAGGCTATTCTTGGGAAAAAAAAGTAAGTTGAACTTGGTCAATACCTGGATGTGATACTGCCTTTAAATCTCAGGGCTAAATACAATGCTGCTAAGGTAAAGTAATCAAAACCTGACTTAACTCAAAAGAGTGTTTTTCAATTTTTTTCTTGTTTGGTGGAAGAGAAACCGAGAGGAATACAAAAATCACAAAATATTTCAGGATTGCTGGACAAGGTAATTGTTTCCAGGAATCTGTCCAAGGTCCTGAAAGGACTGCCACTGACTAAATACCATCAACTTTAGATTTTTTTAAAGGGTTTTCTTCTCAGGACTTCTAATTGATTTACAATTAATTGCCAGAGAGTAAACATTCTCCAATATCTTCTAGCTAACAATGTTTTCTTTGGCCGAATATTAATAAATTAGTATTTTTCAAAGCTTAATTAAAAAAATACATTAGAAATTAATATTTTTAATGTAACAAATTATAAGATATTAATTTCACCTCTTGCTAGATCAGATTTTTGAGCATGTCAAAAATTGCATGAACAGAATAAATCACACTTACCTGAACAATATGTACCATTCCCTTTAAACCCAGCTGCACACTTGCAATATGGTGGACCAATTGGATTAAGAAAACAGCTAAAATAGAAAATCAAGATAGATTATAATTTGCAATTGATAAAAAAGAAATGGCATGCTTGGAAAACCCAAGAGATAAGTGGCATCAAATAAATTCACTTCATTGATCAGGGTCATAATAAAAGTCTGCTAAATTTTAAGTAGATGAGGTGCGTATTTATTTAAATATTAACTTTTGCAAATGAAAAATACAAAATGTTTTCACTATTAAAAACAGTTTTCTGCCACACTGATTATATTCAGTCTGCAGCCTCAGCAGCCTGTGGATGTTGGTTTAATTTCTAAAGACATTTATAAGTGTCAGTCTCTTGCATTGGATTGGGAGAAAGAGAAGTCACAGAGTGATGGAAGTCAAGGGCAAGTACAAAGGGGAAAAAAAATGCATGACCCATTTAATCTCTTGCAATTGCAAGATCAAGTCCCTGCAGTTGTCTTAGCAAGGTTTTTCAGAAGTGGTTTGCCATCTCAGGGGTTGCCACAAAGAAGAGGGAGTCAAGCTATTCTCCAAAGCACCTGAAGGTAGGACAAGAAGCAATGGGTGGAAACTAATCAAGGAGAGAAGCAACTTTAGAACTGAGGAGAAATTTCCTGACAGTTAGAACAATTAATCAGTGGAACAGCTTGCCTCCAGAAGTTGTGAATGCTGCAACACTGGAAGGGNCTGCTCAGCATGCTTGCCAAGAGGAAAGAGCAAGTGAACATAGCATTCATTACAAGCAGGATTACACATTTGAGCAAGTGTTGCTGTATTGAATGGGCTCAGTTTAAATGCACAGGCACTGTTCTTGCATCTAAAGTGTAAACATTGATTGCAGGTAGAGGTTGTGAGAAGAGATCTGTGGATTATGACTCCTCAGAAGAGGCAACTTAACATCATACTGATTCAGGGAAGTGTCTGCATTTAAAAACCCATGATATTCCCAAAGCCAATATAAGAGAGTGGGATGGTGATCCAACATTTTAGTATTAGTATTTAGTATTGAGCCATGGTGGCGCAGTGGTTAGAGTGCAGTACTGCAGGCTACTTCTGCTGAATGCAGGCTGCCTGCAATTTGGCAGTTCGAATCTCATCAGGCTCAAGGATGACTCAGCCTCCCATCCTTGTGAGGTGGGTAAAATGAGGACCCAGTTTATTGGGGGCAATATGCTGACTCTGTAAACTGCTTAGAGAAGGCTGTAAAGCGGTATATAAGTCTAAATGCTATTGCTATTAGAATTATAGGAACTTAGGTATTTCAGAAGATTTAGCAGATCAAAAACTGCACAATTCTATCCAGAAAGGATCAGATCCTTTCCCCTTTGCAAGCTTTCATGATATTTCTCTGGTATCTGCAAGCAATAAACCCTAATTTCAAGTTCCTAATTTTACTTGTAATAATTTCAATATTGCATCTTATCCCTGGAAAGTCCAATGAAGGTGTAGCTAAACCCCCAGTTGATGAAAATTAGTTACCTGTGTAAATGTGATCTTGAGTGGTTCTCCTTGGAGCGTGATGACAGTTTTATCTGAAGTCAGATCATTATACAGCAATCCTGCACATGATACAATATGATAACGCAGAATCTGGGGCAACACACCTTTGGAAACCCAATTGGAGATCTTGAAAAAGAATTATTCAAAAATGATTTACTGTATTGAAAGTGGCAGAAAGCAAAGAATGAACAATTATATTTTGACTTTGCCATTATATGATTGTGATCTAAACTCATAGAACTTTCCTAAGTGATTCTAAATGAGCGACTAGCATTTCACATTGGACTCTCCTGCAGAGATTGAATTGAAACCTATTGGAAGCAGCTTCATAGAAAGAGACTGCAAAATTCATGACCGCTGAACTGTGCTGAATGTCCCATCGAACATCAAAATGCTTTTGTATACTTACTTGCAATTCAGTTAGAACAGCTTCATTTGTCGGTGCAAAAACAGTGAAAGGGCCCGTTCCTGTAATATCTCTGAGCGAAGCATCCTATATTAGTGAAAAACAAAATGCACATTTCAGTCAATATAGACAGTATTTTAGGTACCTTTATATCTCTCAGAAGGCTATTGAATCTGAAAAAATTATTCTTAAAAAAGCCTTCTGCAATTAAAGACACTGGGAAGGGATGGCCTATGACAGTGATGGCGAACCTTTTAGAAACCAAGCGCCCAAACTTCAACCCCAAACCCACTTATAATTACAGATTGTACAGTTATAGAGACTAATTTGATTCTGAACTTAACAACGGCAGCAAGATTGTTGGTGGCACAGTACTGGAAGAAGGAAGNTGTAGGGTTTCCTGCCTAAGCAGGGGGTTGGATTAGAAGACCTTCAAGGTCTCTTCCAACTCTGTTATTCTGTTCTGTTCTATTCTATTCTATTCTATCTCTCCTGGAGCTAAGAGAGAGGTACTGGTCCAGTTGATGTTGTGCCTAAGGCAGGAGTAGAACTCATGGTCCCCTAGTTTCTATTCCAAAGCATTAACAAATACCCCAAACTGGCTCTGATTGCATATCATTTGAAATTAAAATTTACAGTTAGAGAAAACATTAGGGTTATAGTCAGGATCAAGTAAAGAATAATATGGGGTCAATAACTAGTTGGATGCAATACATACTTGGCACTGGTGTGGCAGGTATTGTTGCACTTATCATCTCTGATTTCTGGAGAAGAGAAAAAATGTTTTTGTGAGTCAATATTCTATACAGTTCTCCCCTTTATTTTGTTGAGCTGAAATCTATGTGTAGAGCTCACCTAAATGCACAGATTTCCCTGGATGATATCACATTCAAATTGAGGTGGGTTTAAATGTTTCTTCATTCCTGCGCTTACTCTGGTATTCTGGTTCAAATGCCACCTTTTTGCTGTTAGAACAAACTCTGTCTAGAATTTGCTAATAAACACAGCACTTTTCCCCATGTACACGTTCCTTTTCTAAGCAAAATCTTTAACAAAAACTCCAGGAGATACAGCAGGGGTCCCCAAACTTGGCAACTATAAGACTGTGGGTTTCAACTCCCAGAATTCTCCAGCCACATAGGAGTTGAAGTCCACAAGTCTTAAAGTTGCCAAGTTTGAAGGCCTCTGATATACTGAGACACAAGAGAAGAAAGAAACAAATCACGTTGTTTCTTTTGAACCGTCCCCAGATGTTTTCCTCTTTACTAACAGAATCAAGAATAGTCTTCTCAACCTATCTTTCTGCCTCAAATGCCTTATTATTGTAAATGTAAGTTGCTAGACCAGCTACTTTCTGTTGATGGAACATAAGAGGCCTATCTGGTCCTTGACCTCCAGCAGCAAAACATTGTTCTGACCCAGCCTTCACAAGTAATGATAAGCTACTTAATCATTAGTAAAACAAATTCCTTTTCCAAACAGGCCCAGAACAGTTTTTTTATTCACGTGAATAAACAAAAACAAACATAATTAGTCCTAACAAACCTGGTTCTGGCCAAGGAATCCAAATTGCTTGTTGTATACAAGAAAACCAATGGTTGTCTGCGAACAACTGGCCACTCTCAAAACCCTACTATTTATTTCCCAGCCAGGGTTGGGCTAGCTAGCAGCTACATCTACTTTTCCCTGAGAGCCAGCCTATTGCTTTCCTTTGCTCTCCTCTCCTTTCATCTCTATGCATATGCACAGCTGGGATGGGCCCCATCTGTTCCTCCCTCTCACTCAGCGCAGGCCCTGAAGATACAGATGCCTCTGGGGGAGGATGGAAGACCCATGCTCTCCCTCAACCTCTTCCTCCTCTGGCTCTGCTGCTAGCTCTGCTGGCAGCCGACAAGCCACAACAGTCCTGCATATTATACAGAGAATGAACTCTCTTGGTCAGAGAGGCTTGGCCAGAGCTGCTGATGACACCATTACTACTTTTAACTCTGAAATAGGATGCAGCAATCAACTTACCACTGTCACATTTGACACCTCTCCAACCAACATCACATTCGCAGGTCCCATCTCCTTTAATACCACTGTTGCACCTCCCATTGGTGCAGGCACAGTCTAAAAACAAAGGAGTGGTTTTAATTCCGAATAGCTCATAAAACAGTAGGAATCACTAGCATGCAATCCGCTCTCCTTTAATCTCTTCCAAGCTTTTGCGATTCAATTTACTGACATATTTTAACATAACAATTTATGTCTGGTTTGCAATTGCATCAGCTATACCTTTGTCTACAGTGACTAAAAAGTGCCTAAGCTGTAATATTACAAGTGTAGCACACATAACATGGTGAGAACAATGGTGCTGTTTCTTTCTTTTCAAAACCTGAGCCCTGAAATGAAGTCTGAAGGATTATAGCTGGTTGCCTTGTGGAAATCACTGAGATCTAGCAAGCTATTTTACATACAGTTGGTCAACATCTAGTACAAATGGTAGAGTGGATTTTCATATTTATTAAATGTTGATTCATTCAGAATAGAATAGAATAACAGAGTTGGAAGGGACCTTGGAGGTCTTCTAGTCCAACCCCCTGCTTAGCAGGAAACACTATACCACGCCAGACAAATGGATATCTAACATCTTCTTAAAGACTTCCAGTGTTGGAGCATTCACAACTTCTGGAGGCAAGTTGTTCCACTGATTAATTGTTCTAACTGTCAGGAAATTTCTCCTCAGTTCTAAGTTGCTTCTAAGTACACATGGAAGGGTACAACAGATAGATACAAAAAGAAGTATCTATTTACCAAACAAAAACAATAGATGCAGTTGGGAAGCATATGGACAATGAACAATACCATTATTCAGAAATATGAATTGCGATGAAAAATAAAGTAGGAAAATAAAATTGTAGTTGTAATGTTGTTACTTTTGACTGTGTCAACGAGAGTCAGAAGTTGGTGCTTTTTTTTCTTTTTTCTCCCTTTACACTATACCTCTCTTTTTCCCTTCCTCTCTTCTTACTTTTCCATTTTTTCTTTGTATTTTACACTTTGATAAACTAATTAAAAACTTTAATTGAAAATAAAATAAAATAGGAAAATGTAAAACATTAGAACATAAAATTAAGCAAAAGTTTGATAAAATGTTTGATTATTCACTGATAAGCACTTCAGCCACTTGGATGCTTATGTATCTACTAAATTGCACTCCAAGGAAATCCCTCTGAAATTCAATGTGATCCACAAGAAACAAAAGTGAAATGATTGGTATAGCATAATTCATGATATCTGTGACTATAATAGTACTTGACAATTACTTGGAATCTTTGCAAAGTAAATGGTTCTGAAACCAGAAGTACCTTGGTCACAGTTTGTGCCATATTTGCCTTCAGAACATTGCTCACAGGCCACTCCCTTGAATCCTTTTTCACATTGGCAAGACCCAGTGCCATTGACGCCATCCAAGCAAATCCCATTGCCAAAACATATTTTTCCAGATAATCCTGGGCAAGACTCACATTGTGGGCCATAAAAGCCTGCACAACATTCTCTAGTCTAAAAAAGAAATCAAGACATTAGGGCTTCTGCAATTGAAATCCTTGGAAAGGATGAAAACCAGAGAGTAAGGATGGGATTCTTGAGCTAGTTGTCAACAGCATATAGATAACTTTTGGGACATAATTTTATTATTAGACATAATAACCCAATCACATTCTTCTTCACACATTGTGCTGCATCATTGTTTATTTTAGGCTTCTCCCCCCTTTAAATAACCAAGGGCCGCTGTAGTTATACAACGTGTTGCAAACCACAATAAATAAACATGCTAAGTCAGTGTTGTTCAGAGCTAAGTAATCTTTTGGAGTAGTTTCCAAAAATTTACCTGTACATAAAACAGTGTTTTATGGTTTTATAGCTATGGTTTTTGTAGCTATGGTTTTATGGCTATGGTTTTATGGTTTTATGGCTATGGTTTTCCCAGTTGCAATGTATGGCTGTGAAAGTTGGACCAGAAGAAAGGCTGAGTGCCAAAGAATTGAGGCCTTTGAACTATGGTGCTGGAGAAGACTCCTGTGAGTATCTTGGACTGTAAGGTGATTAAACTGGTCAATCCTAGAGGAGATCAACCCTGACTGCTCTTTAGAAGGCCAGATCCTGAAGAGGAAACTCAAATACTTTGGCCACCTAATGAGAAGGAAGGACTCACTGGAGAAGAGTCTAATGCTGGGAAAGACTGAGGGCAAAAGAAGAAAGGTATGACAGAGAATGAGGTGGCTGGATGGAGTCACCGAAGCAGTAGGCGTGAGCTTAAATGTACTCCAGAGGATAGTAGAGGACAGGAAGGCCTGGAGGAATGTTGTCCATGGGGTGGTGATGGGTCGGATATGACTTCACAACTAACAACAGTAACAAAACAGTGTTAAAATCTGAACTATTCCTTTTAGGCAGAGGTTAAACCTTTTATTCTTATGGTTCATTGCACAGTCATCCAGATGTTCAGACTGGATTTGGCGTTTTTATCCATCATTGAAAACCTCCCCTTGGATTAAGTATCACAATCCACAGCAATGCTTAAACCTAACACTCTTTCCCGTGGTATTGTATCAATAGTATGCTTACAATTCTACTTTTAGTACATTTTGACTGGCATCCCAGACGCATCGATGTTCCATACAAGGAGACATAATAGCAGATCCCCTTCTTGCCTGGCTGTATGAAAGAATAAACAATTTTAGTGAAAAAGATTTAATAAGACGTATGTGAAGTGCTGCAAAAACCTATTCTAAATTTCATGCAGTATTTTACCTATACTTCAAATAATGAAATATTTTGAAAAATAAAGCAACTCTATTGGCTTTCATTTAAACTCTAAACCGAGGCCCAGACTTGATGTGATTGAATTTTTTAAATCAACTATTCATGATAATTATTTTACAGTTTTCTTTTCAAGTAAGTTCTTTAGAATTTTAAACAACAAAGAATGCTGGTTTTTCCCCTGACCAGATAATCCAAAATGATAAAAAAGCTGAATCGGGCATTTCTTGGGCTACTTTTTCTTTCTCCTCCTCCTAATTTCTCCACAATAGTGACCCTGTAAGATTACCGTAAGTGTGTTTTCTGGTGAGACCAGTCTATCAGGGCAACCTGGGCTACTCAATTATACTGCATACTGCTTCTGCTTTCACCTTTCATCCCTAATCCAAGAGCCTCCGCAGGCAGTCCCTTTCATGACAAACTATTTTTAAAAAAACATAAATTCAACATGACCTTGTAAGATGAGTTGGGCTGAGAGAGAGTGACTAGTCCAAAGTCATCAGCTGGCTTCCATGCCTAAGATGGGACTAGAATTCACAGTCTCCTAGACCAGTACTTTAATCACTGCACCAAACTGGCACTCAGATGCTACTCCCTATTTCTAGCAATTTCATTCTCAAATACTTACAATTTTTGTACTTCCAGTAGGACAGCTAGATATCTGTGAGCAGGGTACACACTTTCCCTTAAAAAGAAAACACACATTTGACAAACAGTAGATCCAGAAAGCATTTTCTGTATTGCTAGATAAGCATCAGAGATATTGCATTTTCAAAGAAGCTTTGATTACTTCCTCAATTAATTTGCTTTCCTTATCTTTCTTACAATTATTTCCCAAGATGACTTTGCTCTGTCCTTTGAATATAAATTCGCATTTCATTTCTTTCTTTTGTGTCGCTTATTTTAGCATCTGCTGCTCATTGTCAACCGAAATAAGATCAGTGGAGGAAAGATGATACTTGAGAGTCACAGGGAAAGACTGTGATACTGGCCCAAGCACTTCCTTTCAGTCTTAATCCATAATAGATTGTTGTGAGGCTGTACAAGAGGGAATGATAAATGATGTCTCGCAAAATGAACAGTTTGAGATGGAAAATCTGGGAGTCCTGACATGCAAATAGATAGACTTGAGTTTGCTATGGCAGGGGTCCCCAACCTGTGGGCCATTACCCTCTATGGGTGATATGTTTCCTCCTCAATCTCAGGTCCTCTGCCAGAGACTTGGGAGTTTGAAGGTTCTGTATATTATTGTAGCTGCACTGCACTCTCCAGACAGAAAACTCTGATGCTTTTCCTGGGATCTGTTGGAGCCATTCCCCAAGTGGAATGTTGATTAACCACTGGTTAACCCACAATTAACCAATGGAATGGCTTGCATCCAGAAGTTGTGGTTGCTCCATCACTGGAGGCTTTTCAGAAGAAGAGAATGGACAGTCATTTGTCTGGAATGGTATAGGGTGTTCTGCCTGAGTAGGGAGTTGGATTAGAAGATCTCCAAGGTCCCTTCCAACTCTGTTATTCTGTTATTGTTATATGTTTCTATTACAGAAACTAGATAAAACCAGATTAATGGAAAGTTCTGGATTGCTTGTGTTAGACAGCTGTGCTATTATAATGCTAATTGCAACATACATCATTAATATTTAGTACAAGCCAAAAATCATTACGTTTTAAGTATATATTGATTGGTATTTTTTTCAGTGCAGATTAATTAAAAATGCAATGCATGTTCAGAAGCGCACAACTTACATTTACAATCACAGTATCATTAATATCACATCTGTTCTTTACAATTTCCATTACTTTTCCCAGTCCATGGATTATTCCTTTATCTGTTGCAACATTTGGGTAATTTATAGGTGCCTCGTTTATGTAGAGCTGTGCACAAAATGTTAACACATGTGAGAGAGATTACTTATAAAAATATAGCTTGCATAACATTTACTCCCATCCCCATTTTATTCAGCCAGAATGTGTAATAAAGGACATTGCATTATAAAACCTTGATCTGAAAGTCTGCAGTTGCAAAATTTATATCTTATTCAAACTATTGTATATTTCTAAGAGCAGATTTTGTTTATTTCTGATCTTATGACTAAAGTGCATATGATTAAACCATGAAAATAAAACTCTTGGTTATCATTGTGCAGCTGGTTCTCTGAACAGCATAATCGTGAGAGGGATATGGAAGATCAGACTGATGTAAGAAGAGTTACAATGCAAGACTTACACCTTTTCTCAGTATATTGCGAGGGCGACAACTGTCCCCTCGCAAAGCATGTGTTGTAATATCACAACATTTTTTCCATCATGAAAGCGGTAACATCTTATGGATGCTGCTGTTTCTGCTAAAAATCTAGTCTCTAGAGTAGATCTCCGAAACTCATCATTGTCATTTAACGACCCCATAATCTTTTGCAGGATGGAGTCTGGGCAATTGAATGGAGCTAGCAGAGTGTTTTAATGGCTGGATGCTCTTTCTGTCGCTAATGCGGAGTTTTGTTCAGCAGATATATTCTCAATGGGCCCAGAGAGAGAAATATCTGCTTCTACTTAGGATCAAACTCACAGCCTCCTGATTGTGAGGTAAGAGCTCTACCTCTAGGCCACAGCACCACTCCAGTAGAACTCTGAAACTGATGGCTAATAATCATGCTGGGTAGAATGATGGGCTTATATTCCATCATGTCTGGAAAGTGCCAGGTATAAAAAGTTTCCTTAAGACTATTTGGGCCAAAAAAAAATATGACCATCCCACTTCAAAAAATGCAGCCTTGGAATAAGCAGGAAAGCGACATTACAGAGATGACTCCTAGTTAAAGCCAAAGATTAATGTTGATTCATTTGTTCTCAATCCTACTGTCCTTCAAACCCAGCAATTAATGCACGTATTTAGAGTTTAGAGTTTATTAACTCTGGGCCCATTGAGAATATATCTGCTGAACAAAACTCCGCATTAGCGACAGAAAGAGCATCCAGCCATTAAAACTCCCTAGGGACTCAGGGCGGCTTACAGAAAGACAAAAGAAACATATATAAAAAATTAAAATAAGGATACAATTGTTTAAAATTTAACACCATGCATACAATTAAAGTGGGGCTGGATACTGATCAACAGCCCCAGGCCTGCTGGAACAACCAGGTCTTAGTGGCTTTACGGAAGGCCGGAAGAGTAGTGAGGGTCCGGATCTCTATGGGTACATCGTTCCATAGGGCCGGAGCAGCTACATAGAAGGCCCTCCCCTGGGGAGCCGCCAACCGACATTGACCGGCTGATGGTACCCGGAGGAGGCCCAATCTGTGTGATCTTTTTGGTCGTTGGGAAGTAAATGGCAGGAGGCGGTCTCTCAGGTAGCCAGGTCCTAAACCATGTTGGTGATATTTAATCCCATGCCG